GATTATCTTCTTCTTCTTCTGCACTAAAATTCCAGTGTGTTTTGCTGCCATCGAGTGGTTCGCTGATCATCGGCGTTTTTGGTACCAACACTCCGGTGAGTTAAATCGTTCTATCCTAGGAGGATATATTCCATAACCTCGTGTACTTGAGGGGAATAATTTCCTTAAGGACACACTGTGTATTCAGTGGGCTCGATTTGTTCCTTCAACGTTTCAAAAATTATTTTGAAGTTCGAATATTATTTTTCAGAATTGTCTCTACTAACTTTCTGTTTTATTTTTCAGAAAGATTACTGTTTTATTTACTTATAGCAATACAGATAAGTAACAAAAACTATGGATAACCACCATCCAAACAAATTGTTAAAGGAAAATATTGTACTTCAAAACGGACAAATGGCTTGAATTACGGGCGTAAATTTCTTATAATTATCATAACTTTTGCTCCATGTCACTTGTTATCCCATATGTAATCTATTTCTCTCCCTCACTATATAGATTTGGAACAAACAGCATGTTTTATTCTATTTTTAACATCCAATCTAGTGTAGAATTTTCTGAAAATTTTCAGTTCAAATTATTCTTATGGGTTGATGCTTTTAAAAATTCATTATTTAAATATTTTACAAGTTGTCTTTTACATATTCCAGTTCATAATTACGTGTGATAGTATCCAATGACATATATGTTTGACCAAAAAGATTTAGCCCTCAATTATTTTTTTAAGATTAAGACGTTTGAATCCGAATACATATCTGAATATCAAGATGTGTATTAAGATTAAGACATCTGAATCTGAATACATATCGGAATATATTAAGATGTGTATTAAGATTTGAATAGAAATAATTAAGACTGTTTGATTTTTAACATCTGAATGTATAAAATTTATTTTTATTTGAAAATTAATAAACATAAAATTCAAATGAAATACTAACTAATCTAATATTCTATCAATAAACTATATAGTTTTTTTAAAATATGATAGTTGTTGGTGGTGATGGCTAACGAGTGAATGCCGACTAGAGGCGGTGGTTGGTGGTAGTTTTGGTTGATGGTGGTGGTTCATGCTAGTAGCTAGCAGTGATTAGTAGTGATGACGATTATGATTGAGGATGGTGGTGGTGGGTGGTGATAGTTAATAATGTCGGGTGGTGGTAGTAGTTGTGATTGGGGAAGGTGGTGGGTGGGTGGTGGTAGGTTATATTGATGGACAGTGCCGGCTGTGGTTGTTGATGGTGATGGGGGTGGTTGGTTGTGGTAGTTGAGGCGGATGAGTGTTGTTTGTGGGTAAGAATGATGGTGGTCGGAGTGGTGGGAATAGTAGGTGGTGATGGTCGATAATGGAGGCTATGATTAAGGATGATGGTGGCGTGGTGGTGGCGGAGGTGGTGGTGGTGGGGGTGGTGGTGATGGTTGAGTATGGTGGTGGTGGCGGCGGCATGGTGGTAGTTGATAATGGTAGGCGGCGGCGACAGTTAATAATGAATATATGATAGCATCTTAATGAAATTAAGTCTCTGTTATAGATCTTAATCATACAGACCTATTCAGACCCATTAAGTGATTGTGAAATAAAAAAAAACAAACACACTTAATGATTAAAATTTGAATAATTAAGATTCAGACTTTAAAAACAAACGCACTTAATGTCTGAGATCTGAATGATTAAGATTCAGACCTCCATTAAGTGCAAACAAATGAGGCCTTAGACTCCTTGTCAAACTAATTAGATTAAAAGATTTTAGGCAAATCCTAACGAGATGTAATTTACCCTAGATCTAAGATAGAAGATAAGAATGAACAAACATAGCAGAGCATAAGATTTAACCATAACCATAGTTGAATCACATTATATGAGAAAATAATGGTGATTACATTGATTAATAGTGAAGAATATGCAGATAAAAAGGGTCACTGATCTTTAACAAGATTGAACCCCCCAGCTTGATATGATGAGACTAATGAGATATATTGAGGATCTGAGCTTCCTTGCTTCTTTCTCCTTCGTGGGTAGAGGGAGAGATGAAGATCCCTCTTCCTCATATGATATATCTGTGTGCGAATTTGTTTGAGCCCCCTCTCTTCTTCTTCTCAGTTTGTATAAGAGGTATTTTCCTTTACCCAACGGTCATTATCCATTGTACTTAAGTCGTTTGATTGTATTACTGGCTGATTCTCTGAAATGCCGTAACGTCCGATTCGCCGTTCAAGCATTTGGAATACATGACCTCGGCCGTGGCCGAGGTGCGTGTTATTATAGCATTGTGCGGATACGACTTCGGCCTAAGCGAATGTTTGGTGTTTCTCTCTATGCGGATTCTCGTCTGGTCGATTTCGACCAATACAATATATATATATATATATATATATATA